GGGTAGGTTGCAAGAGTTTCTTCTATATACAACAGGTAAATATTTTCATCCATTCAGTAAATTGTCTTTTCATTTTCTTAACAGTATCTTTTGTTGTGCAGAATCTGTTATTTTTGGCAAAGTTCAATTTGCCTATTTTGACCTCTGTACTTCTGGTTCCATATGAGGTCAATGCCAAAGCCACAGCTGTAAAGACTTTCTCCAGTTGTCTTCCAAGAATTAAAAAAAATATATATTTATTGTTTTTATTTTATGAGTGTATTGCCTGCATGTGTATAAGTGCACCCATGTCATGCAATGCCCGCAGATACTGAACCATCTCTCCAGTCCCTCTTCCAAGAATTTTAAAGTTTCAGTTCATATCTAGGTCTTTTGATTCATTGAAAGTAGGTACCACTTAATGCAGACTTTCTTTACTGTGTGGTTTATACCTGAAACCAAATTATTCTGGGGGAAGACTGTGTGACATTTATATGCCTGTACTACATTATTTTAACATTGCACCTTTCTAGTAAATGCCAAAGTTAAGTTTTCTAAGGTGACGGGACTATTCTGGCTCCTTGAAATTTCACATAAATTTCACAGGAGGCTAGTTTCTCAATTTCTGTAGAAAAGGCTGTTTGAATTTTGACAGGGATTGTGCTGAGTTTGTAGACAGCTTTGGGTGGGAGTGACAACACTGATGCTTTTCTATTCATTAGATTTTAAGTTTTGTAGTTTTCATCATCTAAGTCTTTTGTCTTCTTGGCTAAACTTATACTTAATTTTTTTCATATGATATTATACATAAAATTGCCTTAGTTCTTCTGATTGCTCAATCCTGGTAATACAAACCACTACGTATACCTGATGGTCATGTCTTGTACATTTGCTGAATTTATTAGCTCTAGTATGCTTCTTTTGGATTTGCTATTTTCTATACACAGAATCATGACATCTGTGAAAAGAGATCATGCTATGGCTTCTTGCCTAATCTGGATGACTTATCTTTTTCTTGCCTCGGTGCTCTAGCTATGATTTCAGTGCTGGTGGTGTATCAGGTATTTTTATCTTGCTCTTACTTTAGGGGGAAGCCTTCCATCTTTCACCATTCAGCATGCTAGTTGTAGGTTTGTTTATAAATACTCTTTATCATGCTAGTTCTTTTTACTTAATAAAAATTTTAATCACATCATTTTGTGTATATGCATGTGGGTGTGCAGGGGTCACAGCATGTGCACAGAAATCAGAGGACAATGTGTGGGAGTCAATTCCTTCTTTCTACCATGTGGGTCCTAGGGATTGGACTTAAGTCCTCAGTCTTGACACCAAGTACTTTTAGACACCAAGCCATCTCACCAACCTATTTTATTATTTTTATGTGTATGAGTGTATTGCCTGCATGTGTGTGAGTGTACCCATGTCATGCAATGCCGCAGAGGTCAGAAGAGGGCTTCGGATTCCCCTGGGACTGGGGTTAAAGATGATTTGTAGCCTCCATGTGGGTGCTGGGAATCGAACTCAGGTCCTGTGCAAGAGCAGTCAGTGCTCTTAGCTGCTGAGCCACCTCTCCAGCCCCTCTTCCTTCCTTTTTAATGTAGACATGTGTTTAAATTCCCTCAGCACCGTTATTACTGCATTCCCTACATTTTGTTCAATTCCATTTCTATTTTCATCTATCTCTGCTTCCCATTATTTAGTACCATTTTACTTGCTACATTTTTGTGACTTTTCCAGGCTGGAGAGATGGCTCAGTGGTTAAGAGCACTGGCTGCTCTTGCAGAGGACCCAGCTTCGCACCCCAACACCCACAATGGTGGTTAACAACCATCCACAACTCAAATTCCAGAGGATCTAATGCCCTCTTCTGATCGCTGTGGGCATTTCACAACACAGGTGCACTTACATGCATACAGGCAGTACACTCAAACATATTTAAAAAAAAAAAAAAAAGACTCATACATACCTGTAATCCTAGCAGTCAGAGGCAGGGAGATTGTGAGTCTGAAGCCAGTCTGAAATACTTGCCTCAAAAAACAAACAAAAATCACATTTTGTGTTTCAGATTGTAGTCTGTCCTCATGTACCGTCAATTCCTCTGTTACTGCCTCTTAAAAATTTTTATAGTAATGTTTTAATCCCTCTTATGTATATTCTGTAGCTCTTTTATCTGGTTTCGGTGTTACATTTAGCATCCGAAAGTCCTAACAGTATTATCTGAATTTATGCCAAATTGTCTTCAGTAGCACACAAAACAGTTTCTATACAGATGTCCCTTTCTCTTATTGATGTCACAGACTATTTTTTCATATACCACAAAGCCAATAAAAGATTATATATCTATCTTTCAAATTATGTAGTAAAAGGGGAGCTACAAACCAAAATTATAATAAAGTTAGCTTTTTATAACTGCCTTTACTGGAGGTCTCTATTTCTTCATATAGTTTCATTACTGTCTGGAGCCCTTTCATTTCAATTGGAGGGACTTCCTTTTGTATTTCTTTCTTTTAAAAAAAAATGTAGCCAGGTATAGTGGTACACATCTTTAATCCCAGCACTTGTGAGGCAGAGGCAGGCAGAGTTCTGTGAGTTTGAAGCCAGCCTGGTCTATATAACAAGTTCCAAGCTAGCCAGGGATATAAAGTGAGACCCTATCTTGAAAAAAAAAAAATTACTTGCCATTCTTTTCTCAAAACTACATTTATTTGTAGTTTGTGTGTGCACACATGCACATGTGGAGATCAGACAACCTATCTGTGCAGGAATCAATTCTCTTTCCACCATGTGGGTCTGGAGATTGAACTCAAGTCCTCAAACTTGGAAGCAGGAACCTTTACCAGCTGAATCATCTTGTTGGCCCTCCTTCTGCAAGGCTAATCTAGTGGTAAACTAATCCCTTAGCTTATGCTCATTTATGAATACCTTAACCTCTTCCTTATTTTTAGAAGACAGGTCTGAGTGATAGAGAATACTCAGTTGACAAGTTTTTTTTTTTTTTTTTGGTCTTTTTGAGAATCTCCCTGTACCCCCAGCTGGCCTGGAACTTACTATGTAGGCCAAACTGGCCTTGAACTCACAGAAGTCTGCCTGCCTCTGAGTGCTGGGAGACTAATTTTTCTTTTACATGAAAAAAAAATTAAATTATTTATGCATATGTGCCTGCTTGTCTCTAAGTGTACCACATGCATGCAGTGCCTGTGGAGTCCAGAAGAGGGAGTCAGATCCCCTGGAACTGGAGTCACAGATGGTTGTGAGCCTCCATGTGGGTACTCTGGGTTGTCTGCAAGAGTAGCAAGTGCTCTTAACCATGAAGCCATCTCTCCAGCCCCTAGTGAACATTTCTAAAAACATGGACAGATAATAAAATAATCTGTTCTCTAAGCAAGGTAAGAAAGCATGTCCTCCCTTTCCATCTACCTCAGTACTCATCACTGTCCATGTAATAACCCACATTGTGGGTCCCCTCATTGGCTTACTTATTTTACTTTTAGAGTTAAGTTACTGTTTAGTAATACCTGTACATTTTATTAATTTCTTTGTGCAGTACTGTTTCCTTATAGACCCTGCATCCCGTTAGATGAAACGCTCATTTTTTGGAGCCTACTCATTTCCTCTTGAAAAAGATATATGGGTCAAAAGTTTGAACTCCTGAAAATGTGTTTATTTATTTTCCTAATCTAGAATGCTGACTCTAAGAATCAGGGCTCAACATTATTTTTCTGTAAAGAAAATGGAAGATAGGACATAGCTGCCTAGAAAGTGAGTGACAGAGGCTTCATATTCAGGAAGATAAAACTGAGTGAGGTCTTGGGTTCAGGGGATTGTGCGGTTGAAGGGCCTTGAGTACATCACTAAAACACATGGTCAACTCATTCATGAAGAGGTAAAAAGTAGGAATTCTGGTCTTTTCCTCCCTAGGCACCCTGCCTGTGGATTTTAGTTAAATGATGCAGATGCTGGTAAGTGGGCAAGTGGCTGCAGGCACTCATGCAGATCTGACAAGGAGCAGAGAAAAGCCATGCCACTGGCTTCTGGAGGGGAGAGTGCCGAGGTTGACTAAGGCCAAGGTATGAGAGTTTGAAGTTTGGCATATTAAGGTTGGCTGTAGGGTTTTCTAGGAACATTCTCAGTGCTGAAGTCAGGTTCAATCTAGGCATGTAGCCTTACAACAAGGCTAGAATGACAGAAGCCAAGCTGTGTACACAGGATGATTATATATTTGCCATACAGGAATTCTAAATGTTAGATAAAGAAAATGTCTCTGTCTTGGGTTCTCCCCGCCCAATTAATTTTACTCTAAAACCTTTTTCTAACATAGAAATGGAGGCTCTGGCAAGCTCATCTTCAGATACAGTGGCTAGTTTGATGTTTATGCTTCTTTCTCCACCTGTCTGATGCTCACAGTCTATCTACAATTACAGATATTCTAGATGCTTCTCTCCCTTTTCTCTTCTGATGTCCTTCATAAAGATTTGAAACACCTTCTAAATAAAGAAATGTGAACTGGGTATGGTGGCTGACACTTGGGATCCCAGTACATGGGAGGCAGAGGCAGGAGGATCAAGTGTTGGAGGCTAGCCTGGGCTTCATAGGGAGTTCCAGGCCAGCCTGGGCAATACAAATAAAATAGGGCCTTGTGACCTTGTCTCAGAAGAAAAGAGGTGGGTGGGGGAACTGGAGAGATGGCTCAGGGGTTAAGAGCACTGGCTGTTCTTACAGAAGACCTGGGTTCGAATCCCAGCACCAACATGACCGCTATCAACTGTTCCTAACTAGTTCCAGGGGATCTGACACCCTCTTCCATCCTCTGCAAGCACTGCACAGGTACACATAAATTCATGCAGGTAGCACATTCATACACAAAAAATAAAAAAACATTTAAAAAGAAAAAATTCAGTAAAAATTGTCTTTTCGTTTTAAATGGCTATGTGGAAATCCTATCAGAAGACATGACTGAAGACACCATAAACAACATTCACAATGGCATTCCAAATGTAATAATGTCCCACCAACACAATGGCTTCCTTATTTATATTTTTATTGACAAATCAGGATGCAGATTCTATGAGGAAAACAGCTTTCATAGAAGTCTTTCAGTCTAAGGAATCAGGAACTCATTTCAAAGTTACACAAATAAATAGCAAAGAAATAGAATTTCTAAAGCAGCAGCTCCTTCAAAGTTGCAAAATGAAAAGGAACACACCAAGCTACAGGACTCGTAGACACAGATAATATAGTTTTGTTTTGTTCTGTTTTAAGCTTAAGAAATACAAATGTGTTCGCGTATCTGGAGATAATCCCTTTATGGTAAATACAAGAATTTAAAAGTAAAACCAGGAAAGCTGTGCAGCACACTTGAGCCACTGGTTTGGATAATTCATCAGCATAGAGATGAAAATGAGCATGCTTAGAGGCTTACTGACTTTAAAGATGGCAGCACTGGAAGGGCCCAGCAGGTAACCAGAAGTGCTTGCATCTCCTAAGTGAACCAAATGTCCCCAGAGCTGCAGCATGGCCTCAAGGGACCTGGGCAGGCACAGCTATTATGTCCCCAGGGGAGACAGGCAGTCACCTCAAGGTTTAAAGACCTTACTTCTAAGCCAAACCCAGAGGGCACCTTCTAGGATCAATGCCCATAACTTTGTACAATGTGGAAATTAAAGTTCCAACTCTTAGATTCTTTGAAAATTCTCCCATGAAAAGAATTACTCTGAATTTGGATTTTTAAAATTAATCAATAAACTAATGACTACAGATAAAGAACAATAAACGCACCATTCATTAGCAGCGCTCTAACAGGCTTTGGGCAGCGCAGTTCCTGCCTTTTCTCAACATGTTCACAGCAGACTCCTGACCATCTTCACATGAAAAGCTCTGAGCCAAAGTTGCCATGTTGAAATGAAAAAGGTGACAGTGATGTGACAAACATATTCATCAGTGAGTCCTATACACTGTGTCTCACACCTGCAGGCAGAAGCAACTCTCCCACAGGAAGGCAAGAATTCGGTTGTTCTTTTTCTGTCTAAACACTTCTGAGGACTAAGAGAAGAAATAGACGCTTGACTTTTGTTAGATTTCTAATGAAAAAACAATTTCTGAAATATTATATGGCTATTAGACAATGTTTTCAAAAACTAATGACCTGGGAAAACATTTCCACAATTTAGTATTAGGAAAATGTAGGATATAGTTCATTCCTGCCACAACTGGGAGGGGATGTGTGAGTCTGATAAGTGTTTGGGTCAAGGAATCAGAAGCAACCTATGAAAACAAGCCAATGAAAGCTTTTTACAGCACATGCAGGAAAAGCCTCTGAAAAGGTCAGTTTTCATTTCTCCCCAGCTGCTGTCCCCTTGCTGATGAGGCTGGGTGTCAACGCTCTGAAAACTGTTCTCAAGGAGGGCAGTCTGGGCACTGCACCTTCTCTCCCCACTTTTTCTGGAGGAAGCAGACGTGTTGAACTAAGTTGGTGGTTCCTAGTCAGGAGGCTCACCTTAACCACTCAAACCTTGGCCATCAAGGCAGAGCTTCTACAGACTCTTTTAGGATGCAGGTGAGGACCTTCCCTGTAGGGTTCCTAGTATCTTCTCCACTGGTCATGCTCATATTGTCTGTTTCCTAAACCAAACAGAAACAAAATCCAAAGTAAGAAGAAATGTCTCCAAACACTAACTCAAACAGGCCGCACAATTCTAAGTACACGTAAAGACAACATGCTGAGAAGACAGAACTTTATTCTTTTCATTTGTGACCACCTGCCATTAAATTTTGATCTATAATTATTCCATTAAAATAGAAGCAATTAATTAGGAGGTAGTGCCATTAATGGAAGGAAACTGTCAAAACTGTTCCTCTTGGTGCCAGTTCCAACCATCTGCAGGACATCTACATGTCTATTACTGCTAATGACTTTGGAACTGGAAATTCATATGTAGACGGCTCTGAGGGAGCTTTTTGCCAAGCACAGAAAAAGCCATGTGTGGCTTTTCCAGGGCTGGGTACCAACTCCCCCAGCCCCATAGTATAGCTGGCCACTTCCTGCCTCTCTGACAGACATGGGGTGTTGGGAAAAGACTTGGAGCAGAACTAGCTTTGAATAAAAAGGGATAGTTTTTCACATCTTAAAAATAACACTTTTTTTTACAAGTCTTGCTCTTGGTTTTCTTTGGTACATGGAAGCAGTGCCCTTAACATCACCCCAAAGTGTGAGAGTGATGGCCCAAACAGGTGTCCAGATTAATATGCTCTCTACCACCTTCCCTTCTCTGTCCCCACTTCTGTAGCTTCCTAGAGTGCAGCCCCACCAGCCATCATGAGAAGAGGCAATGTGAAGAATCTCATGTAGGGCTACAGCTCTTTAATGAAATTTAACACATTTTTCTTTACCAGCTGGGCTGAATAACAGCAGGGAGAGGTCAACCCTTCTCTTCTGGTCCCCATTTGTTCACAGGTGGCTAGGTCCTAGACGGTGATGTTGACTACCTCTGGGGTATGCCTCTCCCTCAAGCAGCAATCCCCAATGACCTTGCGGCCTCAGCTCCCACCTCACCTACACCTCTGCAGCAAGGTCCAGACTCTGAAAATGTGTCAACTTTGCCAGAACTGAATAGTTCCATTATGAGGCATTCTGAGTCTTTTCCAACACAAAGAATTTGTTTGGGGCTGGAGAGATGGCCCAGTGGTTTAAAGTACTGACTGCTCTTGCAGAGGACCTGGGTTCAATTCCCAACACCCACATGGTGGCTCTCAACCATCTGTAATTTGAGTTCCAGGGGATCTGATGCTCTCTTCTGACCTCTGTAGGCATTGCACAACACAAGTACATTTACATACATGAAAGTAATACACTCATACACATAAAGTAAAAATAAATAAGAATTTTGTCTATTACTTCTATCTGTGAAATACTAACAACTTTTTACTGGGACTGCTTTTTTTTTTTTTTTTTTAATTGAAGAAATATAGAAATAGCTCAAGGTAGGGGAAAAAAGTCAGCCAAAAAAAAAAAAAAAAAAAAGTGCTGGCCCAAAACACAATCTTAGTAATTACACTGAAAAGGTACATTTTTTGATCTTTAAAAGGGGGGGAGGGGAGCAGGAGAGAGAGCGAGAGAGAGAGAGAGAGAGAGAGAGAGAGAGAGAGAGAGACCGACCGAGACCAACTGACCGAGACCTAGTCCCAATGAAGGACTGTGTGCAACAGATAATTCAACACACCATTCAACACAAGACAGTACTAACAGCAGCATCAGTGGCAGACCTGTGAACCTATCTCCACATGGGTAAGGGGCCAATGAAGCACAGTCCTTGCTCATATACTGCCTCACAGGAGCCCTAGCGGCTTCCAGACCAAATCCTACCATTCAACCTGACACAAACCCAGCATTTGGTCACCTGAGTTAGGTTTTTTTTGTCTTGGGCCCTTGGAGTTTTTCCCAGCCTGATCCTTATAATCAATACCATGCTTATGTTTCATTATGATCCACCCCAATAAAGTAAAGATGTCCTTGTCCTAGTTACTTTGTTACTGGGATAAATTACCGTAACCAAAAGCGACTTGGGGAGGAAAGGGAATATTTCATCTTACAACTCCTAGGTCATAGCCCACTACTGAGGAAGTCAGGGTTAGAACTCAAGGCAGGAACCTGAAGCAGAGACCATGGATGAATGCTGCTTGCTGGCTTATTCCCCTGATTTGCTCAGCTACTTTTCTTTTTGTTTTTTGGTCTTTTTGAGACAGGGTCTCCCTGTAGGCTCCAGCTGTCTTGGAACTCACTATGTAGACCAGGCTGGCCTTGAACTCACAGAGATCCACCTGCCTCTGCCTCCCAAGTGCTGGGATTAAAGGCGTGTCACCACGCCCGGTCATATACAACACAGGTCCACATGTTCAGGGACAGCACCACCCACAGTAGCATCAAGAAAATGCCTCACAGACATGTCTACAGGCCAGTCTTATGGAAACAATTCCCCAACTGGAGTTCCCTCTGACCAGATGATGTTGGTTTGTGTCAAGTTGTCAAAAACTAACAGTATAGTCCATCAAAGACCTAAGTCTCAAACCAGGATACAAGTTGTAAGCAGTTTTTAGGCTTTAACTAATGTGGCCAGTACAGCTTTACTATTTCCAAGTGACCAGAAGAAGAGGGATAAATTCTCTGGTCTTACAGCCAGCCAAGACATACACTACTTAGGGATTCCAGTGTGTGAAGCTCAGTGTGGCCAGGTGGGTAGAGGGACAGGAGTCAACTCCTGGAGTTTCCCAGCCTGGAAGGAAGCAGTCAAAGCAGTCATTTGTGTTGTACATTCATTCACTGAACAGGACTGTCCAGAACCTTGCATGCCCCAGGGCCTGCACCTCTGTGACAGTGATGAGAGCCTTGCCATTGTTCCTTTCTGGGTCAAAAGAGCTGCTTATTGCTTGTATGTAAACAGAGTCCTCAAGTCATGTATGTCAGAAATGATCTATGAACCAATGGGTAGTTATGGATATATACACTGGATTTAGAACTAAAACACTGGGGCACACAACGGGAAACTTGGCATTATTCACTGAGTCCCCACCACCACCCTATGAAATGCAGGATTCACCCAACACCCAAAGAACAAGAATGTGAAGTATACCAATAAATAATCATCAAGCCCACAGCTTTTTAAGCTTTATTCACTACATCTGTTTTATTAAGTTGGTGAGTATCAGAGTTCCAGTAAGGGACATCAACACTACACCATGGGATTATGGCCTAGCATGCAGATGGGGGTCAAGGAAGGAGGGCAAGCAGGGTGCTGAGGACAGAGTCCAGAGCTCAGGTAGGATTTAGTCTTGAAGGAGCAGTCCAAGAGGAGAGTATTTCTCCCTAGGCTGGGCCAAGGCTGAGAATACTGATTGTATTAGGAAGCTGCAAACCAGTTGGGTGATGGACCAGGAAATCAGGACATATATGACACACAGAGAAAGACCCACAAGAGCTACACTGAGTTCTTTATGATACTTCTGATTCTCCTTAGTGGCATGGCAGACTACTGTCAGAAACAGAGAGGAGTAGGAACAATACCCTTGAAAAATACCTGTAGCTTAGATAGGATCATCTCTTGAGTTGTCCTTAGAAGCCAACTGAAGACCAGTCTTTTAGCTTGCCTCTGTAGTTCCAATCCTAGAATTCTGACTTCTCCTGACCTGTCTGGCATGTGGCTGTCTCCTTCTCAGGTCTAGGCCCACAAGAGACCATTATCCTGCTCTCACTAGCCTTCAGTCCGGGTTGATCCCAAACCTGTATCCACTTGCCATTTGGCTGAAGGTTTCTCAGCCTGGTATCACTGGCCACAAGGACACCATCACACAGGTGGGACACAGTCTGGTACCATAGGCCATGAAGACAGCTGCCATACTGGTGGGACACATATACACCATGATGGCCCTGGGCTGCTGAAAGTACTGAGTGATATGGTTTCCAGAGCAGACATTTCCTCTCTGGCAGTGACTGGGGCTCGGGGTTAGAACCTGTCCTAAGGAGTCACTCCATTATTTTCATTTATGTGAGGAGGAGCAACTTCTGGACATGAGAGGTCCAGTGTGTGTGGGGGGAGCGAGGATAGGAGGGGGAGTCTAAATTTGATTAGCAACTGTTGTTATGAAATGTACAAAAGTTCAATAAAAAGACATTCTGTATGAAATACACAGAAATCCAATTAAAAAATTACAAAAAAGAAATGTGAAGAAACCACCCCACCCAAGGAAGGATTCCCCTAGCATAAATGAAACAAGTCCCTTAACTTCTGCCATCATACTAAGGGTAAGAATAATACAACATCTTGTGACATTCCTCCTCCTGGGTACTCAGGCTGGGGCAGGGCTATGTGAATATAGACAGCTTCTTGTAGGGCTCAGGACTGGTCAAGTTTCAGAAGATTTTATTTTTTCTTTTAAGGTCTATTTTTATTATTGTTTCATACACTATATTGATAGTATTTACATCCCTCCCCATCTGCATGCCCCTTACCCCTGCCCAATCCAATTTCATGTACTTTATTATATATATGTATGTATATATAAAGGTCTATAGTCAAATTTGTGTTCCCTAATGCTCTTCAGTGTGGGTCCATTCACTGGAATCTGGTTAATCTACCATGTGTCACACCTTTGAGAGAGACTGACTCTCCCCCTCTCAGCAGCCACTGCTTGCCAATAACTTCTCAGTTAGGGCCAGGGTTTCTTGCCCACTTTCCCATGTCTACGGTGGGATTTTGTCTGACTTGGGTTTACATGGGACTTGTGTATGCTGTTACCATTGCCGTGAGTTCATATGAGTAGCTTCCCAGCTGTCTAGAAAACTGTTTCCTTGTGGTCATCCACCACTTCTAGCTCTTAGAATCTTTCTGTCCCCTCTTCTGCAATGATCCCGAAGCCCTAGGAGGCAGAGGTTTGACATAGGTGTCCTATTCAAGGATAAGCACTCTGCAGTTTCTCATTCTCTGTACATTGGCCAGTTGTTGGTCTTTGTGTAAATCACCATCTGCTGCATAAGGAATCTTCTCTAATGAGAGTTGAAAGATGTAATAATTCACCGCAGGTCTTGGGAGAATTCACTGGTCTGGGGTGCACTTCTTGCATTATTTTCT